GCAGCTCAACTGTGCTTGATATCTCTGGAATCTCTACCGACTCAAAAGCCGAGAACCATTTCTCGACAGACTCCCGAGGCTGTCTAAAATTAAGAGCTCTTTCTTCATCGATAGGCAAAAATGATCGATCGATCAAAGGCTCTTTCTTCTTCTTTCCTCTATCACCGATATCGTGCTTCTTTTTTCTTCGTTCCTCAACAACAGGAACGCTCTCCGCACGCCTTTTCTTAGACCGAGTAACCGGAACTTCACGTTCTGCAATATCTCGGTCACCTTCAGGCTCATCGGAAGCAACTTCAATAACAGGTGGAGCTTCCGATGGAGTAGTTACAACAACGGGTATAATTTCAGATGGATCGGCAGTTGTAGCAGCAACAGTAGCAATTGGACCTGTTGCTGTGATAGTCAAAGGGTTTGGTTGCAAAATTTCAGCAGCAACTGCTGATGTCGCACCATCATCGACATCGGTTTTCGGAGGGTTCATAATCGGATTCTCCAGATACGCTTTCACTAACTTCTTGCGACCCATTCCCGATAAACGCAATTCCTTACTTTTGCCGATCTTTGTTCGAAGGTCCAAATTTGGACTCTTTTGGCGAAATACTTTAGCGTCGCGGACGGTCTTAAAACCAAGAACACCGAGAAGCGGATAGTAAACTGCAAATACAGAACCGAGTTATGATAGTTTTCAAAAGCAACCGACTTCAAACAAGATTGAAAATTTATTCAAGTTACCTGGTTGGAAAGAACCGTCAGAAATCTCAGGACAGAGACTAGCAGCCTTCAGTCTTGTGTCCTTCAAAATCAGCTTGAAGCTACGTTGTGCTTTCTTCAACTTGAAAAACTCGGTAATTCTTTCTTTCAATGTTACACCGGGTTTCGATCCTTTGCTTTTGGCTGCAAATAATAAAAGCGTTGACCTGTTAGTACAAAAATAAGCAAAGTCAGAACAACTCGGTAAAAGAAGTAAAAGAAAAACTTACAAAATGTCGAATTAATATTGATGGGAATTGTCATCCCCTCAATTAAAGGTTTCGAAAAATTTGGAGTTTGCCAGTCTCCTCCAACCCATAACCACTCCTCTTGAAATCCGTGGAGTGACTCGGGGATTTCAGTAATTAACTCGCCAATCTTTAATCGTCCTTGGGGCCTACCCGCACAAGCGTAACAGATCAAGAGATCAGCCACTTGTCTGTCGGCACACCGTCTGAAGGTGAAAAGACTTCTAATCTCCTCCACCGTTGGCATATCCCAGCCCTTTTCTTGTAATAGCACCAAGAAACTGATGATTCTCTTCCAGGTATTCGGTGCTATCTGACATAAACCGAACCCCCAATCCCTCAAATAGTCGGTAATTATCGCGGAAAGTGGAAACTGAAGTCCCGATCTCAACGAGTCTGCAAATATACCTACACAGCCCGGAGGGGGACAAGTGATCCTTTCCCCTGGATAAGGAGCAAACAACCTCACCGAGGAGGGAATATAAACTTCTCCTCGGAGATTGACGATATCAGCGTCAGTCAAAATGCTCGGTTCTCCTCTGTATTCATCAATTGGTTCGGGCCACCGACGAGTAGGACGTCTCCAGTAATCGGGAAGCGACATAGCATCCTCTTCGACTCGTTTATCCTCCTCGACAATATCTCTATTGAGATTTAATCATTTCACCAGGAGAGGATCCCACCGGAAAAACTCCAGAGGCAATTCCAAATCCTCATCGGTAAAAATTGTAATCTCTGAAACTGTACGGCTACTGCTATCTTCGTCTTAAGCAGACATCTTTTTCGAAATCGATAAAAGTAAAAACAAATGCAAAGTTGACGAATAAGAACGAGTAAAAGATTAGGACAAATTCTTACCGAAATTCTTGAAAGCCCCGAATCGAAGAAAACATAGACAAAGTGCACAAGAAAGAGATTGAAAGAAAAAGTTAAGGAAGATGGAACACAAGAGAAAGCAGGAGAGAAGATTTAAGGTACAGAAACTTTTCACATATCAAAACCGACTGCGATTTATAGGTTTTGATTTATAACCGTTGGTAAGATCTGGAGACGGTGCGTGAAACGGACGTATCACGAAATGGTGAAACGTTACACTAATCATTACAACACGTGGCCATGCCCAGAAACGCCATGTCGTTAAAAATTGTATCCGTTGGACCCATTAAATGCGGACGCGACTTTAAAGAACTGCCACGTCAGCCCAAGTAACATACAGGAAATTGCGAATAGAATAAAGTACTCTCATGTCGGTCGTCAAAGGAAACCAAGTCGGAATAAAGCGGAACAACAAACGACATCAGTAGTCATTCAATAAAGCTCAAAATACCTACTAATGTCGGGGGCCTCACTGTTGATATCCGACTTGATTACATAATTGAATGTGGTGATTAATCACTCCATTGAAGAAATAATTCTCCAGAAGAAGACAAACTTAGGACAAGTCGGTATTCATTGAATTAATTACCGACTTCCGAGACCGTCAAAAGTACCGACTATTGGAGCAGACACAAATAAACCGACTTCAGTTCATCCGATATTAAGATAAGTCGAATCAAACCTTATCTGTTTAAATCGACGGCATAAAAGTTCGAATATCCAAGCAGAAAACAGAGATGTAAGCATGTGATTGGATCGCCAAAATAATATAGCAATCATTGATGTTCCCTGATTTCGAAGCACATCACTTTGTTGAAGCTGCTCAACATTAAATACATTCTTATCCATCTCGAGCAAGAAGACAAAAACCACCGTACTATAAATAGCAGAATTTATGATAGTACGAGGATCTTTTCCAACACATTGTACATGGACTTAAGATGATCTCGGTCAAGAATAAAAAAACCGACTCCTGTATTCTTGTGAATATATCAAATAAAATCAAATTTTACTTTAATTTTTGTTTAAACACACTCAGCTGTTTGTGATTTTAAGTTGTTAATTTCATACAACAACAACATCCTAACTACAAAATTGAATTAATCTAACGCACTAAATCAGTCCATACGCGCATAACTACAGGGCTAAATATGTAATTGTCATTAGTGGCCCCACCCCAATTAAACCATTTCTCCTTTTCCCCNCTCTCTCTCTCTCTCACTCACACACACACACTTCACGGGGACGCACAGACCCACAGACTGGGTGACGCCAGCCACCCATGGAGCGCCGCCACAACCCACCAACCGTCGTCCAGTCGGAGAGCCGCCGCGCACAGCCCTTAGCCACCACTCGTCGCCTCTGACCGACGTAACACTAAGCGACGTGCACAGCCACCGCCCGGTCTCGCCGCTAACAGCCGTCGGCGATGGCGACATCTCCGCCTTCCCCACATGTCACATCCCTTAACTGTGCTCACTTGAGCCCACGACTCACTGTACACACTTGAACTCAACACACACAACCCTTAACTGTGAGATTGGCAAATACACAACCTTACCTGTGAGAATGGCAAATTTGGTTTATGTGTGCAGGGTGGAAGGGATCCGATTTCAAGAGTTTATGTTTGCAGGATCCGATTTGCAGGACAAATTTTGTTTATGTTTGCAAGAATTTGGGTTTTGATTTTGAAAATTTGACATTTTTCTAGGACTCTATTGCAATATTAATAAAGTTTGATTATTCTTCAATTTAGCCCATGGGCTAAAACTGCAATTTATAAAAAAATAATTTTTTTTCTTATTTTTTATCATATATATTAATATAATAAATAAAAACATTAAAAAATAATAATTTATAGTAGTAAAATAATATGAAATATATTTTATTTTTATTTTTTATAAATAAATTGATAAGTGCAAATTGATATTAATTGAAATAGAAACTATTAAAGTTCATATAACTAAAATGCACATAAAAAATACACAATCAATAGAGTGCACAACAATTTTATACAAGATGCACATTATAATCTGCTGGAATGCACAATATTGATTTAGTTATTTATATATTACGTCTTTTCAACTAAAAAATAATATAAAATATTAAATATAAATATTAGAGTATTAAAATATATTTTCATAATATAAGTAGTAAATCGTTTTGATCAACGAGGGTAATACGATTAATCGATTAAATAAATTGGTTATTTGATTCAGTTTTAATTCGGGTTGGAACAAATTATTAAAAACATTCAAGATTCGAGTGCACAATAGTGTTATATGAATTGCATATTATTGACTAACAGATTGCACAAAAGGGACCGATTCGACCGAACTGGATTGTTTGATTTGACATTGTATATGTCGATTCGATTATTTGTTTTTACTTTAAATTGTAGATTATTTCAATTCGGTGTGGTTTTTTTTTCTCATATAAACGAAATAACCGAACCTATTGGAGTATATAGAATTATTGCTATTAGTTATTTATTTTTTAAATATATCGAAAGTGCACAACACTGTTAGACGAATTACACATCAATGATTATCTGATTGCACATTAATGGCCGAAATCTAAAATCCCAAGAAAAAGGAATATAAATTATTAAATAAACGTATAAAAATATCAAAAATATCAACACCAACCGATTAAAGATATTGTGTATATATTGACCAAATTTTTAAAACATCGACGCCAAACGGATACACTTTAAGTATACTGTTAGTCCATAATAGTATTTTTCAATGAAATTTATTACATTTTTAAAAAGTTTGGTCATTATTTTTTTTTTTGAACTTTTAACATGCAAATTCACACACTATATTGTGTATTGTACTGAACATTATTGTGCATTTATTAAAATTTTATTCAATTGCAGATTTTGCCTGACATATCAAATTGAAATATAATAAAATATACAAAAATACACTTGAGTCCTTTTAAGTTATCAAATTCACAAACAAAGACCCACAATCCATGAATCATTAATCTCTCTCCCACAGCTTTCATCTCTCCCAAATTCCAAATTCCAATCACTAGCTAACAGCGCCATCATCAATTTTGAGGAATTCATCTCACTGCTCAACAAGACTCTGTGCACCGGTCATACCAAATTCCGCCTCAACCTGCTCTCAATTTCAGATCGATGTCGGCCACTGCAAGAGAGCTCTTAAATTCGGGTCGGGGAAGATCGAGCGGAAGGAGACGTCGACGACCATCACCTTCGCTTCTCCGGCGGCATCCGTTCAGTTCGTCGTTGATGGGGGCATGAACGGCCTGCGGCATTGCTAAGACGGGAAATGGACTGTGGCTACAGCGACGACGGGACCAATTGGGCTGTGGCGGCAGCGAGATGTGGATGCGATTGGGCTTGTGGAGGCGGGCGGCATGGTGGACGGTGTAGCGGCTGACGCCGGTGGGAGCGTCGACGGCTGACTGATCTCCGACGCCGGATGGGGATGCGATTATGGCGGCTGTGGAAACTGGCGGTGTGCGGCGGTGTCCGGCGGAGTTGACGCCGTGTGTTCATTGTGTGTGTGTGTGTGTGAGAATTTTGAGTGTGTGTTTGTGTGTGAAACAGACGGGGAGCTTGCAGGTGGGATTGGTGGAGATGGTCACGTGGTGGGTATTGGGTGGGACCCACTATGAGTGGTGGATGAGTTGTACTTGTGCGTAATGCCCGTTTTACCCTTACTATATGATCAAATATGTATATTTGACCACCTGTGTATATTTATTTACCATATTGTCATTAATGATTGATCATTGTTTATTAATGTTTGACTTGATCATATCCATTGATATGATGTATCGAATGGTCTAGAATCATTCTCATTTCTTTCATTGTGTTCCTTTCCCATTTGAGCGCACTTCTATATATATATATATATATATATATATATATATATATATATAACATGAGATATTCAACTTGACACGGCATGAATAACATTTCAAGGGAAACTATATAATTTTTAATCTCTCTCTCACACTCGTATACATATATATATATAGGCGTAAACTACGTTTTAAAATGGATAAAATAATTAATAATTTACACTACAAAATACATAACTTCTTAATTTTGGTAGTTTAAATGCTCAATATTCTTTACACTCACGAAACTCATTCATGAATTAAAAAATGATAAAAGCCTATATATGATCCATGTGTTCTTCAGCAAATGATACATCTCTTCGACAATTTTTTTATAAAGCTGTCCAAGCTAGAGAAGATGAATTAAGACATTTAAGAATGATGAATAAATACACACATTGAGTGCTAGTTCTAAACTCTAAACTCTAATAAGGATAAATAAATTAAATTATGAACATGAGTATAAATTAAAGTACTCACAAATATAAGAGGATGATCAAATACTCAGAAGAATCAAACAATTGTTGACGAATGATTGTTGCTGCGATTATTTTTTTTAGCTTGCTTGTGCGAATACGCTCTCCGATATGGCTCTTGAGTTGAGGACATGAGGGGTGGGGCTATTTTTTAAGTTCACTCAAATAGTTAGATTAGTTTTATTAATAAAAAATAATAATATAATATAAATATAATAAATAAAAGGTGAAAGTTGGGTTTTATGAGTTCTTTTAATATATCTCTAATGGGTCTTGATCCTAACCCACCTAATCAAAGTCAATATATCTTTAGTTAAATGGTTAGGGGGACAATAATAATTAAATATACTTAGTCTTATATATTACATATATGATATATAGTTAAATAAAAAAAAAAAGTTTGGGGGAGACCAAAGATACATGTAGGTCCGCCACTGCTTAGGCTCAACTTGTTTTAAATAAATAGAATCAGTACTAACAATCATTATGCAAATAACATATACAAAGAAATACTTCAAAAAAAAAAAAAAGTTCACGGATAAATATAAAGTTCAGGTTATGCCCGGTTAAATAAACCATCTTTTTTCCAACAGCCTCTCAAAGCTTGGATCCGCAACAATTTGTTGAAATTGTGCCTGGGGAAGTGCGAGCACTAGAGTAGCGCGTTTGCCATTGCCGTGTGGCATTTATGGAAGTGGGAAAATGAGCGGGTGTTCCAAAATACGGCGATGAGCGTTGAAGCGCGGAGGTTGGAGGTGATGAGATCCACAGAGAGCTATATTCGGGCGACGGCAGATTATATCAAAGTCGGGACTGCCTTACACGTTACTCGAACGATTCGTTGGAAGCCGCCCGATATAGGATGGATAAAAGTGTATACGGACAGAGCGCACAATAGGACAACGGGACTGAGCTGTGCGAGAGGCCTTCTCCGTGATGAGGTCGGTAGTTGGAGAGCGGGGTTTCTCATGAACATAGAGGCCTACACCATCACGGGTGCCAAATTGTGGGGACTATTTCAGGGTCTCCAATTGGCTTGGGACTTAGGCTTTCGCCAGGTTACAATAGAGGTGGATAGCCAATGTGTAAAGAATATGGTGCTTGGTGATGGTGACGATTATGGAGCACATACAGCAATAGTGCGGGTTATCAGTAGCATGTTGCAGTATAGTTGGAGTGTGAGACTCAACCATGTGCATAGGGAAGCTAATTTTGCAGCGGACTACTTGGCAGGTTTGGCGGCATCGTATCCTCCTTGGTTGCATCGTGTGTCGAATCCTCCTGGTGGCTTAGGGCCATGGCTCGATCATGATCTTATGGGGATTTCCTACCCCGACGTGTTCTAGTCTAAACTTTTTCTAGGCCTTTGGCCTCCTTCTTTGTACCAAAAAAAAAAAAAAACCATCTTTTGAGTTTGGGATCTGATTATTCATTAAATGGGCTATAAAAATCGAACTACTAATACTATATAATACCTCCATTTATCAAAAGATGTGGCAAAAGCATGAAAAGGACGAGTTATAGCAAAACAAGGTTTCTAGACGTGTAGAAAAATATCTAATTGGACAATTTAATCAGATTTTTTTTTTTTATTTTTTTTCTCAATCATCAAATTTCATTAACATAAAACATCAAATTTAATCAGATTTCAAAGATTGATAAAAAGTCGTGTTCCTATATTACTTGAAAAATAGGGATTCAGAATGTCTCCAAATTACATACGAGTCATAGCTTATAGAATTTTGTTCTAAAGAAAAAATGTTGAAGATCACATTGACCTAAAATTTCCTAAGTATTGCAGAGTCGGTCCTGAACTTTATATGGCCCTGGACAAAATGTGCTAAATGTTGCCTTTGGTTGTTTTTGTTTTCTTTAAGTTAATAAAAAAAATAAACATAATGTAACTCGCCATAATAAATCCTCATGGTCGTCCACTTCGTAATGCACCCAAAATAACGAATTTGCATCATTATCGAGTTGATTTATTCTGTGCCGTGATTGATTTGCAACTACAAGAGTTACGTGATCGTTTCTCGAAGGCTAGTACGGAGTTGCTACTTTGTATAGCTTCTTTATCTCCACGAGATTCCTTTTCTGCTTTCGACAAGGGCAAATTAGTCAAGATGGCCGGGTTTTATCCTCAGGACTTCTCTATATCCGATGTTCTCATCCTCGAGGATCAGTTGCAGAACTACATGTTGATATGCGCTTCAATAATTTGTTTAAAGAATTGAAAGGACTTGGTGAACTTGCAGAAAAGTTGGTGCAGACGAAGAAGCACAAAGTGTGTCCTTTGGTTTACAAACTTTTAACTTTGGCGTTGGTCTTACCGGTTGCAACAACTAGTGTGGAACGAGTATTTTCCGCTATGAATATTATTAAGGATAGATTGAGCAATCGAATGAGTGATGATTGGTTAAATGACAGACTACTTGTTTATGTAGAAAGGAAACCTTTTTGAAAATCGGTAATGATGTTATTCTCGAGCGATATCAGGCGATGAAAACTAGTAAAGAACAACTATGAAGGTATGTTTTTTGTATTTGCACTTTTTCTTATAATATTTTATATTTTGTCATTAAATAATTAGGCCCCCCTCATTATATTTGCTAGATCTGCCCCTTAAACAAAGGAAAGTAGTAATCCATAAATCAGCTACAAGAAAATCTCAACAGTTAAGTGAAAACAAAGACAATATATGGCTAACAGACAAAAACCTACTCCAAACAACAACACAACCAACAGACGGAAACCTAAACCTAGAAACAGTAAGAACACCCGACGAGAATCCTAATGAAGCAAATCCTACAAGGGAAACGGGAAAGCTCTAAAGAGAGACCCAAAACCCTTGCTAGAGGGACAGATGACGACTCCAATTGCTTCTTTTCTAGGTAATATGCTAATATTGCCATCTACAGGTTGATAAGAGTTGTGGAATGTGAATGCATCATGGCCACTTTTAATTTACCTAAAAAGTTAGAGCATCTCCAATGCTATAAGTGTGAAAGACCATTATTTTTAACACATGTCAATTAGTGATTGTAATGTTAATCCACATTGGAATAATGTTAAAAATTTCAATGAAACTAGTATCTCCAATGCATCAATTTGATAAGAAGTTATTTGTATAGGTAGACTAATTAAATAATTCATTGATACAAAAAAAATAAAAAATTAAAACAAACATAAAGTAAATTGATGAGTCATCATGTTTAACATGGTATTAGATATTAGAAAGTGTGCTCAACATTGTCAACATTAAATGACATCCACCTCATCATGAAAGAGTTCATGACAAGATGCATTGGAGAAAAAAATAGAGACACACTTTCAAAAGTTGATGATATGGATGACTTTTTATAATGTCAAATATTGCATTGGAGATGCTCTTACAAAAAAACCTGATTTACTTTTGGATGACAATTTTGCCCCACAACACGACAAAATTTGATTATTCAATGCACTAAATCACTATCTTTAAGCTTAAATGTGATGCGTGAATTCTACATTCGGCTCAATTAATTAATTTTGGCAACCGACAGCATATCCAGGGGCGAAAGCACATTAAGGGCGGGAGTGGCGCCGGCCCTCCCAGAAAAAAAAAATTATTGAACTAGGTTTAGGGGGGTATTGCTGGAAATGGAAGGGCACACTTTGAGCGCCCTTCCGATGCTGCCGGAGGCCCGGAAGAAGATGAATCTGGCAGGGGCGCAGCAGCCGTGATTCTTAGCCAAGGAAGAAGATGAATCAGGCACAGGGACGGACTTTTTTTTTCTTGCTACTTTTAATACGTTTTTTTTAGTTATAGCCCAGCCCAGGCTACTTAGCCCAATAAAAATAAATTAATAACAAGGGCCAAGCCCAAATATAGAATCTAACAGATTACAGACTAACAGACTAATTCCTAATTTGCAAAAAAATAAAAAATCCTAATTCCTAAATCCTCAGGGCCGGACAAGAATTTGATGCAATTGAAGAAGCTCAACTCTGTCCTTTTCCCCGTTCGGTACAACGACAAGTACTATGCCGATGTCCTCGCCTCCAGTGAATTTACCAAATTAGGTATGTTTTTTTCGTTTCTGTGTTCGTTCCCTTTCTGTAGATTTTCTCGTTTCTGCTGGGATTTTTGTTGTTGTTATGAGGCCTCTTGCGTTTTGTTATATGGATAAGGTCATGTTTACATGTGTTTTGAGTGGAATTGATGTCTAAATATTGCATTTGCTTAAATGTATACGATCCGGTTTACATTTGTTTGTAGTGGAAATTGATGTCAAAATCTTGCATTTGCTTTCATGGATATGTCTACATGTGTTTTGAGTGGTAATTGATGTCAAAATCTTGTGCTTGTTTATATGTGTATTGAGTGGCAATTGATGTCAAATGGTAGAAATTGAGCTGATGTCAAATGTGTTTTTTTATTTATTTTTTTTTCTGGATTTTGAGCAATTGGGTGTTTTTGCTTCAAATTGTGATTAGCTTGTATACTCAAATGCACCAATTCATCAGCCATGATCCCTCTGCAGCAAGCCAACAATTTGGTGTTTTAATGTTTGTGTATTTATTTGTAAAATTTTAACCTAATTTGTTAAAAAATTGATAATTTAATATATGAATTTAGTATAGGTATGAGTTATTATTTTAATTTATAATGGCATGACCGTATGAGTTGTTATTTTATTGAGCTTGATAGTAATTAGTCACTTTAGTTTTTATTTTGAATTGTTATTCTATATAGTAAATTGTAGTTGTAATATTTTTAATTATTGATTTGTTTTACTATTTTTAGGTATTTGAATTTTGACAATTCGAATATAGTATTCAGAAGGATGCCGCTTTTTGTCAAGTATGTTATTTGTTTAAAAGGATTAATACTCGTTGTGGAGATGATGCTTTTACTGGTGTTGGTTTTAAAAATTGGAAGAATGCTTTAAATAAATTCAAGGAGCATGAAGGGGGTTTAAACAGTCCACATCGTAATGCCATGGTTCAGTGTTCGTCATTTAGAGACCAAAGGCATAATGTGGATTATGTGTTATCACAAAAGGGCACTCAAATGGAGATTGACTACCGCGTTCGGCTAACGGCGGTTGTGAAAGTTGTTCGATTGCTTTTAGGGGAAGGTTTGCCATTTCGTGGACATGATGAGTCAAAGGATTCAATACGAAAAGGTCATTTTCTTGAAATTTTGGATTGGTATTGTGAGGAGAAGGAAGAAGTGAAGAAGGTCATGAACTTGAATGCTCCCGGGAATAATCAGTTGACTTCTTCAAAAATTCAGAAAGAAATCATCAATGCTTGTGCTACAGAGGTGAGGAAAGTCATTATTAATGAAATTGGAGACAAGTTCTTTTCTATTTTGATCGATGAAGCTCGGGATAGTTCAATAAGGGAGCAAATGGCCGTCGTCGTGAGATTCGTGAACGATCGCGGAGAAGTGATCGAGCGATTTTTTGGAGTGGTCCACGTTAGTGACATCTCGGCACACTCTCTAAAAGGTGCAATTGATGATTTTGTTGCAAGAAATGGATTGTCACTTTCTAGGCTTCGAGGTCAAGGTTACGACGGAGCTTCCAATATGCGAGGTGAATTCAATGGTCTTAAAACTCTTATTTTACAAGAACATAAACACGCATACTATGTTCATTGTTTTGCTCACCAACTTCAATTAGTAGTTGTAGCAACTTCAAAAGAGAACACGTGTGTGAGTGATTTTATGGATTATCTTGTAAGAATTGTGAATCTTGTTGGAGCTTCATGTAAAAGAATGGATGCTATTCGACAAAAGCATAATGATGACCTTGTACAACGTATTCAAAGTGGTGAGATTTCTATGGGGACCGGCTTGAATCAAGAAACAAGTTTAGCTCGACCGGGTGCTACGCGTTGGGGATCTCACTATAGGACAATCAAGCGGATGTTGGAAATGTGGGATGCGGTACAAGACGTTCGTGATACTATTGAGAGTGAAGCCACAGATTTCCAAAGTCGAGGTGTTGCTAGAGGTTTGATTGCTAAATTAACAACTTTTGAATTTGTGTTCATTGCTTATTTGTTGGTGACAATATTGGCAAAAACAAGCGTACTTTCAGCGGCCTTACAAGAAAAAAGTCAAAATATTGGTAAAGCCTTCGTTTTGATTAGAACGTTGAAGGAAGATTTGGGGAAGTTTAGGGAGGATGGTTGGGAGGAATTTCTTGAAATTGTCAAGGAATTTTGTTCTCAAAAAGGCATTTTGGTGCCTAATATGGAAGATCATTTACCGGGTCGGCCTAGATCTAAACGACGAGTGGATGACCAAAGACTTATATGCACTTTTTTCGACGAGACATCTTTCTTCCGGTAACTATTTTTCTTTAATTTTAATATTAACATTTTTTTATGTTTATTATAGTGTTAATAATTAGCTTATTTTTCTCAATTTAATAGGTTGTTGATCTTATCTTACAAGAGATGGCTAATCGTTTTGGAGAGTTGAGTACGGAACTTATTTCGTGCATAGTCTGTCTTGATCCTAGAGATTCTTTCGCTAGCTTTGATCGTGAAAGACTGCTTCGTCTCGCTCAATTATATCCAAATGATTTTGATGATGAGTTCAAACTGAAAGAAGAATTGAATCACTACATCTCGATAGTCACAATACATGAGCGTGCATTTTTCTCTGATCTTCAAAGTATTGGAAACCTTGCAAAAAGAATGGTTGAGAGAAAGTGGCACACTGCTCTTAAGTTAGTTTATCGGCTCATTGAGTTGGCACTAGTTTTACCCGTCGCAACTGCTACTGTTGAAAGAGCTTTCTCCTCGATGAAGATTATCAAGAATGATTTGCGCAACAAAATGGGAGAGGATTTTTTGACGGATAGCTTGGTGTGCTACATTGGAAAGGAAATCTTTATCAAAATTGAAAATGAAGTCATTTTGCAGAGATTTCAGAACATGGCGTCCCGAAGATTTCAGTTACCGCGTGCCGATCTTATTAGTTCCCCCTTGGTTGGAAGCTAGATTGTATTTTTATTTTGTATAATATTATTTGAACGATAATTTAAATAGTTTGCAATTATTATTGTGTTTGTGTTTGTTTTGTCGTGAAAATATTTTTTAAAGACAAATTGGGCCCTCCCCGTGCTGGGATCCTGGTTTCGCCACTGAGCATATCATCGCACGGGTTCCTATTATATTATTTTATATTATATTATATTCAACTATCTGTGATTTGTATATCAGGTGTCCGTCAATACCATTAATTGTTCTACTTTTCCTAAAAAAACTACTGCAGAGAGCCCGTGCGATGCACAGGGTGCACAATTTCAATTTTAAGGCTATTTATCCAGGCTTATAATATATACATGAATAAAGAAAAATGTACGGGATATATATAGTACGTGACCCGTGCGAAGCACGAGATATATTTATTTGGAGAATATTATATTATAAGATGCAATATGCAATAAAAGTTTATAATACGCAAGAAAATTGTACAATGTTCAAATACCTGTGCGAAACACGAGATATATTTATTTGTTTTATGATTTGATAATATAAACAAATCTATACTTAACTTTGACAAATAAATACTTTAGTAAGTATTTAATGTATATACTAAATAGGAATATATTTGGTATAATCAAATACCAAATATAATCAAATAAGTCAAAGTGTACATTTTTATTTGGTATTTTATTTTTTATTATTAAAATCTTTTATTATACTTACCTTTTTAAAATAAAATAAATAAATAAATCAATTAAATAAATAAAATATTATAATACCAAAATAGTAATGGCAATTAATGCAATTGACTTTTCTGGATAGTAAATGTAGTAAATAAAATCTCCTTTTATATAAGTATAGATTCTATAATACGGAAATAGTAATGCAATAAATGTTGTTGACTTTTTTTTATACTAAATCTGGTAAATGGTATACCTTTTAATATAAGTATAGATTGCATTCTCAAATCATTATCATTTAATTGTAGAATATTTACTGAAATAATGAACGTCGTTTCTCTAATTGGCCGATATTTTTGAACTAAAATAGTTGAACATTTTGAGTGTGATGGAATATGAGTTATGATCTAACTCAATCGGTTAAAACCGGCGGAGACATTTCATATCTAACCACTTAATTCAAATCCAACTCAACTAAATTTAACTCAAATCTCAATTTTTTATAAATATAATTAAATATCAATTAATCATTGTCACATATCACATCAACTTTAATTAATTATTCATTCATTCACATAATTTAAACAATCTATAACTTCCTATAACATATTTCTTTTACTTTTACATTATATCAACTTTAATTAATAAATTTTGAGTATTATTTCATTTTAAATCTAATTTATTTAAAATAACTCACTTCAACTCAAAAAATTGAATCATAACCGCTTTAATCCATATCCAATTGTCCCATTTGTGTTTCCATTACAATGGGAATCCTACAAACTGAAGTGTGTGTTTTAGTTCTACAAAATGGTAACTAATCGTGCAGTCCATCCTAAGTGAGCTCGAATTACCTGCGATAATAAACGGTCGGCCCCAAGAACTACGAACCTCGCTTGCATCCCTTGGAACCTTCCGGTTACCTACCATTTCTAACTAACTACCATGTTCCTCGCCTCCCTTGCTTGCAATAATGTGGTTGAGAAGCGATAACTCTGTCTACCAGCTTCTGATGTCGTTTGACTTTAATTGTCCTTCTAGAGGGACCTAGGTTATTGCAATACATATAGAAATATCAGGAATTGGTACGCATTACACGCGAGTGACTTGGCAGCTATGGCATGAATGGCTGACGTGCATACGGCAACACAACAGGCTAAGTGCGACACACTACGCACGACATTTTCTACGACTTGAGATGCATCATCGAGCGCGACACGCCTGCGTGTGGCACCAGCACGCAGTACGCCTACATCACCTGCAGCCAGTATCTACGATTCATTCCCCATCAATTGTTACGTCTCTCCGTGTTGTTGCGCAGACGAAAACCAGAATTTTCGGTGCGTTGCGACCCAAGTCTAAACTTCCAGTAACTAAGTACCCTTAGTTTATCTTCTAGGTGCTCATCTTTGTCTTAAGTCGCTCGGCTGGGAGAAATTTATGCTCATCCTCTTCACATGAACTTCCTTCAGAATTTTCGAATCAGTTTTGAGTTTGACGTCCTTCGGTGGTTGTCTCGAACACGTCTTTGCTACTCCATGGCACTCCTTTCGATGATGACTACTCTTGACGCTCCTCACGATGTTCTTCCATGATTCTCGGTTACCCTCTTTAAAAGATCCTTCGTGATCCTCATCGCGGTCAAATCTTCTTTATTCTCTCCCTTGCAATACATTGCCTCGCGATCCTAGGATTGGCTGCCCGTGTTATCGCTCAGGTATGCAGTAGCTTTCACGTACGCTCCTCCAATGCAACTTTTGATTCGTTCATAAGAGAATGAACTATCGTTGTCTTTCTCGAGGCCACGTCACTCTCGATATTCATGATGGCATTTGCGTTCTCGAATTTTCGCATCGACTTAGTGGCAATAAAATTTTACTAACTTTACATCCAAATAAAGACAAGCAGAAATCAAAAGTGCTAAATCTTATTCGAAAACAAAGTCTCCCAAAAACAAAGTTAATACCAAATATAAATGAACAGGAGTTTGCAAAAGTGACGAGAAATGAAATCATAAGAAAAATGAAAGGAACACTACAAGAAAATCATGAAATTCCAACGAGGTACGACCCATTGGATACAAGTGGGTCTATAAGAGAAAGAGAGGATCAAATGGGAAGGTGGAAACCTTCAAAGCTAGGCTTGTTGTGAAAGGTTATACCCAGAAAGAGGGTATTGATTATGATAAGACCTTTTCGCCAGTAGCTGTGCTTAAGTCCATTCGGATTCTCTTGGTTGTAGCCGCTCATATGGATTATGAGGTCTGGCAGATGGATGTCAAGACGACTTTCCTTAACGGGAACCTTCAGGAGGACATCTATATGCAGCAACCAAAGGGATTCATTGATAAGGGACATGAGCATCAAGTATGTAAGCTTAATCGGTCTATTTATGGACTGAAGCAAGCTTCGAGACATTGGAACATCCGTTTCGATGAGGTGATCCAGTCGTACAGGTTCATTCAATGTTCGAATGAGCACTGTGTGTACATGAAAATCAGTGGGAGCGTGGTGGTGTTTCTTGTGCTTTACGTACATGACATACTTCTCATTGAAAACAATAAGAAGGAGTTATCGAACGTAAAGGTGTGGTTGTCTAAGTAGTTTGATATGAAAGACTTAGGTTAAGCACGACACATTCTTGGTATTAGGGTCATTCGTGACAGTAAGAAGAGAATGTTGTGCTTATCTCAGTCTACATACATAGATACTGTATTGGCCAAATTCAACATGCAGGATTTCAAGAAGGTATGTTACCTTTCAGACATGGAATAGGTCTATCCAAGGAGATGTCTCCTAAGACTTCTCAAGAGATATAAGACATGAAGACAGTTCCTTATGCTTCGGCAGTAGGACGTCTTATGTATGCTATGTTATGTACGAGGCCGGATATTAGCTACGCTGTTGGCATGGTAGCTAGATATCAAAGTAATACGGGACGGGAACATTGGTCTGTCGTGAAACATATACTCAAGTACCTGAGAAGGACTAAGGAGTACATGTTAGTTTACCGTGCAGACAACTTGCTACCTCTGGGTTACAGTGATTCCAATTTTCAGTCAGATAAGGACGAGAGTAAGACAACCTCAGGTTATTTGTTTACCTTGGGAGTGGAGCTATTTCATGGAGGAGTGCTAAAAAGAAATGCGTGGTAGAATCCATCATGGAAACCGAGTATATCGCAGCCTCAGAGGCGGCGAAAGAGGCAGTTTGGCTCAGGAACTTCTTAGTGGACTTAGAGGTGATTCCGAGTTTGCAACGTTGTATCACCGTGTACTGTGATAACAGTGGAGCAGTAACAAACTCAAGGAAACCACGAGCCCACAGAGCAAGCAAACACATGAGTGCAAGTACCATCTGATACGACATATCGTTGGTAGATGAGACGTTGATGTTGCTAAGATTGCATCAGAGGACAACCTAGCTGATCCTTTCACGAAGAGTTTGCCGGGGAAGGTCTTCGTCAAACACGTGGAAGGAATGGGAGTCAGGTGCATGGTGATAGAATCGACATAGGTCTTTTAAAATAACGGATTGATAGGACTATTCTTGTAAAAGCGAAACTTTAAGTATAAGTGGGAGATTGTTAGTGTTATATACTGAAAGCATGGCTTTGGATGATATTACACTTTTACCCTTTATGAATGAGAACCGTGTTAGATTAAACAAGTTCTATGTTTTGTTGTTTTGCACTTAGATAGAATGGGTCGTCATCGGGTGAGCATAAGATCATTCTATCAGTTACTTGCGAAACAAGAATTGTGGTTCACAACCTAGATGGAAATGAACACCCATCTGAACGGTTATATTGTAAACAGTACAGTTGGTCTTGACTGATTAGTTGCACTACTACACTTATATATGGAACAAGATCCAGAGAGGAGAAGTTCGTTTTAAACTGATCGTCGTAAACGGACTAGGCCTCGGTTAATTACTGCGTTCTCTTAACCCGTAAGATATTAAACAGACATATATATGCAGTACATATTACCTTGATTCACTTAGGTGAGGTTCAGTTTGTTGGACTAATATTCGTACGGTCTTGGGTAATATTGTTGTATGTATGATGTGCTGTTAGGATATTTACGGTCACCATGTACGTTTAGTTTGATGATGTCCCGAAGTGAGTTCATGAAGGATTGTTATGCTAAGCCCTGCAGGTGGATTAAGTTCCGTCATAATAATAATGTGATGAACGAGCGCTAGCTTTGGTGATATAAATAATATATTAATTAATTCTTGATTGTCAGTAATCGAATTAATTAATGGACATTATATCTTAAACATGGGCAGGTAATTCGGGTAATTATATTTGAAGTCTCAAATGTAATTT